TCACTGGACGGGAAGCAAGCCTTGCCTCCCGCCCGGTGGCTTGCCCTGCGCCCGGCCGCAGCGCACAGAGCGCAGTGCGGGGCGGCCGTGCAGGACGCCGCATTATGACCCGGCTGGCCACAGCGGAAACACAAACCGCTGCGGTCAACTAAGCTGGTGCACCTAGCGAGGCCGTGCCCGGTGCTAAATCACCACAGGCATCGCCAGGCACGTGGTTCTTGGAGACGCACGTGGGCCGCTATCCAGCCCACGCGCAGTATCCCCGGATCCCCCATCGGTCTTCCCGGCGGAGGAGTGGCCAAGGAAGTGACTGCCTCCACAGGGCAGCGCGCCCACGCCGACCTAGCTCCGGAGTACCCTGAGCGAAGTTCGCCCACAGTCACGCTCTCCAAGGCACATCCACCTTGGGCGGCTATCGCGGCTGCCACCTCCTCCTTGGTGGCACAGTCGTCCAGGCCGGTGATCCTAATCTCGGCCATCCTCACCGGCCTGTGCACGTGCACTTCATTCTCCGGCAGCGCCACGCGGAGCGTCGCCACTAGTGCGATGCCAGAACTATCGGCACCGGGACACTCCAGCAGCTTCGCTCCATTGGCGGTCTGCCGGAAGCGGAGGCCTTCCTTTGCCCCGATTTCTGCTAAGTTCACGGCCGCGCGCGCCTGGCTAGCTTGGACATGGTAGGGATCAGCCTCGCTCTAACCATAGCGGCCGCCTCCCGGAGCCTTTTCCTGGAGCTGCTGCCTGGCTCGGCGCCCTTGGCAGCCACAGTCGACAGCAGCTTACCCAAATTCACAAGCGCAAGGTCGAGGTCCCGGAACGTCTCGTCCCCGCTAGCCAGGGACGCAGCCGATGTCGACATCGACTCCACCGGTCGCCGGTGACACCACGCCCCTCCTCCTTACTGGTGCCCACTGGGGGGCGAGCATCACGTCTTCCGACGCAGTAGCAGGCCCCGAAACCACCGGAGTCACCTCCTCGACGGCCATCGTCTTTTCCGGCACCTCAGTGCCGGAGGATGACGCGCCGCCGTCATCGGAAGTTGGTAATGGGGTTCTTCTTCGGCCCTTCTTTTCCCCATCGATGGTCTGGTGGGGTTGATTGCACCCGAGTCGCTGGCGAGCGCAGAGCGCATCGGGGCGACGGGAATTCCGCTGCCCGTCGCACAGCCTCCTTCATCCTGACAATTGTTTCCCCCCCCAAAAGACCCAGTGCAGCAGGAATGCTAAAATGGTGAGATTAATTCGATCACAGGAATCTGAAGAAGATCATGAGACGAGACTCTGAGACCTTTACTGATAGGGAAATCCGTCTGAGCTTTCAGAGGGTTCGGACAGCAAATGTCCGGTCTCAGAAGACACTTAAAGAACGAGAAGTACGTCTCACTGCCGATCGCGAGCCGCATGCATTACCGCTTTTGAGTTTGAGACCTTTACTGATAGGGAAATCCGTCTGAGCTTTCAGAGGGTTCGGACAGCAAATGTCCCGGCTCAGAAGACACTTAAAGAACGAGAAGTACATCTCACTGCCGATCGCGAGCCGCATGCATTACCGCTTTTGAGTTTGAGACCTTTACTGATAGGGAAATCCGTCTGAGCTTTCAGAGGGTTCGGACAGCAAATGTCCCGTCTCAGAAGACACTTAAAGAACGAGAAGTACATCTCACTGCCGATCGCGAGACGCATGCACTATCACTTGAGTCTGAGACCTTTACTAATAGGGAAATCCGTCTGAGCTTTCAGAGGGTTCGGACCTCAAATGCCCGGTCTCAGGAGACACTTGCAGAACGAGAAGCACGTCTCACTACCGATCGTGAGGCGCATGCACTATCGCTTGAGTCTGAGACCTTTACTGATAGGGAAATCCGTCTGTGCTTTCAGAGGGTTCGGACAGCAAAAGCCTGGTCTCAGGAGACACTAGAAGAACGGGAAGCACGACTCACCACCGATCGCGTTTCCAGTGAGCCTATGTTTCGTGATGATAATAAATAAAGCCCAAGGTCAGACACTAAAAGTTGTGGGTGTAGATCTAAGTGTTAGATCTGCTTTTCACACAGTCAACTCGGTCACACGGTTATGTAGCTCTGTCACATATTAGTAATCCTAGCAACCTGTATGCTTTGATCCCCGATGGCTATACGTCTAATGTCGTGTATAGAGAAGTATTACTTTAAATTAGATTTTTCTAAATACCCAAATGGCGGTGCTTATAAACCAAAAGATATGTCCTAAAACTGCTGCCCAAAGTCGCTATTCCACACGGACGGAGTCGCGGGCACAGCTAGTTTGCAATATGTTTATACTTTACCGATGCATATTGTGAGCTCGCGCAGGCTACCGCCAGCCTATTTCTGCCGCGAAGCAATCATGCATTCCGTGTAGAAGTATGGGGCAGCCGTTATTCAATACAGGTACCATTCTGTCTTCATGTTTCGAGGCTGATGGTGGCAAGACGTTGACTGACGTCGACCAGGAGGTCCGGTAGCCACTTAAAATCTGTTGGGCCTTAAACTCATTCACCCATCTAAGCAATAAGAAATAAAATGAAATTTAGTTGATTTACATATCTATGAAGATAAGAGTTCCGAGCTGCACAATTTACGTTCCACTTTCAGAAATTATGCTGTTTCTACGAGGTTACGATTTCTCAGAGGCCAACCGTAGTTACCATAGAACAGAAGAAATATAACAACACCTTAGTCGCGCGAGCAACAAGATAAGTGTTCTTAAACATAAGCTCCGGACAATAAGGGCATTTGGATTGTCTGCCGAGTACATTCGGTCGCGAGGTGGAGCTTCTTCCCTTTGTCGTTTCCTCTTCGTAATAGTCGTACCGAATATACTTATATAACATATGAAATCTTTGAAAGGCCATACATTTGTTAGGAATACAAAATATAAATTGAAATTAAACGAATGCGTATGTAAAGCACGTTTTGTAAGAGTAAGGATCGCGTGCCAGTCTGGTGACGTCGTGATCGCGACATCCCTTGCCACGAACCCGCACCCAGCGGCGCGGAGTCCTGCCGCCCATCTATGATCGCTTCATCTGCATGCGTTACCCACTCACTCACACACGCACACGCCATCTTCATTGGCCGCATGAAGGGCTTCGTGGAATGGGATCTCTAGTGTGGTGCAGATTTGATCGAACCACCTTGTCTGACTGTGCCCGCGCGGTCTCTTTCCCTCGATCTTCCCTGTCACGAATAATCGAATGTCTCTTTAAGCTATCGGGTGTTTTCCGAGCAATATGACCGAAGAAGTCTTGTCTTGATCTGCAATTGGTCTAAGATAGACATATTGGTTCTCTTCGCTGTCCAAGGTTTCCGGAGCATTCTTCTCCAGCACCACATCTCAATAGCATCCATGCGTTTACGATCAGCCGCTTTGAGGGTCCAAGGTCTCCGCTCCATATAGAAAAATGGAAAACACCAGAGTGAGCACCAGTTTTATCTTTGTTTTCTGGGTAATGTTACGGCCTTCCAGATTTTACCGAGCTGGGTTATGGCTACCTTTGCCATTCCGATACGCCGTCATATTTCAGGTTCACTGGATCCGGTATTGTTGATGTTCGAGCCTAGGTAAATAAAGTTGTCAACGAGCTCAAGGCTTAGTACTCCACTAAGCTCCAACTTTTTTGTGCGATCAAAGACCATAATTTTAATTTTAGATCTGTTGATGGCAAGTCCCATCTCCAACCCTATGTACTCCATCCTGCTCTGTCATCTCTGCTTCTATTGTGGCAAGTAGAGTTGTGTCATCTGCTTAGCGCAGGTTCGTCTACTGCACTAATCAAGTCTGTCTGCTCTGAACACACTCTACCTACCCCCAAATTTTAGAAAAGCCCAAGGTAATTTGTCACGTTCGCGCAGTCTAGAGAGCACAGGCTCCGATTAGTTCTAAACGCGTATGTAGTATAAGAGACACACAAAAGTGGTAATGTTAATGTTGCTGTTAATGGCTGACTTGTGTCACTTATTGAGCGTTTGAATAGATCGAGGAGATGGTTAAGTCTAGGACTGCTTAGTGCGTGCCGGGAAACGTTTACAAAAGTTTAGATTTTATTTATTGCATAGTACATTGTATAATAAACAATGACTGTTTGGTCGGATTGCATCATTTTATGGAATCTCGATACATTACGCGCTAAAAGCAAGGGAAAATACCAGGTTAAGTAATATTAATAAGCTGTTAAGTCTAAACTCAGAAAATATAAAAGAATATCACGGTGAAAGTGTATATCTAAAGATGATTGTTTTTGTTACAAATTTGTGGCAAATTTGTTAAAGTGCGAAGTATGAAACTTGGGTTAAACAAGAATACGAACCTTTGTAAAGGCGAAAAGGCCTAGTTGAATTGTCCTATTTGGAATCTAGAGCAGCCATGGAGTCGCGTGGCTAACAAGGACGGAACTTTAGGCAGGTAACAAAAAGAGAAAACTGAACGCATTGCTGAGCCTGAGAATGTGTTCGAGTCGCCTCCGCTCCTCCACACACTGCCAATACTCAGTTACATTCAAATTACATATGTGGTTTTCACATTTTTAATTTATTTTTTCCCTAGTTGTTAGAAGCAAAAGGTAAAGCTACAATTTTTTTTGGTCCTCAAATTTAATAAAAACATCGCCAGTGAAGAATTCTCACAATTATTAATTAATTTGCTATTAGTGTTGGAATTATTTGAAAGTAATAATAGAGATGAAACCTAGAAAAACTAGTCAAAGTAATTTAGAACCATGAGCTGTCTTTGGATGGTAGGTTCAGTGAAGAACTGATCTTGATAGAGCTGCCCAAGTGTGTGTAATTTTTATGATTCTTACGCGACGAACTCGTAAATAAGGAAATTTTCGAAAACCGATAGTGGAACCCTTTGGAAAACTTGTGGAAAAGCCAATGATAGACAATACAAGCGTTTTTGAATAACACAGCATTTATTTTCGATCGCTTCACATCTGACAAGGCTCTCTTCTCTCTTTATGAGCTATAACATTATTGCAAGGCATTAGTGAATGCGTTCCAGTTTTCCATACAGCTTGTAGAAGAGATCCCAGAAAGCCATGCGGTCGTGGAAAGGCCTGCTCTTGAGTCCGAAGTCGGCGCCGATCTCCAGGAAGGGCCGCCTGCTCGCCGTCACTGGCGACCACACGACTGGCAGCAAGTCAGATGTTTCAGGTGTCGGATTGCTGACAATGAAAAGTGCACAATGAACAAATAATATCTACTTATAATAAATTTTACAATAATAAAGTAGCTTTTATTGTTACAGTTGCGCAGTCCAGTTAACGGCCCTTCTGGCGTTAAGTGGTTACCGGATGCTCGGACATCACGGCGCTAACGTATTTGATACCCTTTTCTTACTAATTTGGTAGAAATAGACAGGATTTTGGCACCTGCTCGCGCGGGCTCACAACGCGCCCTAGCGACAATGAAACATGTAAATTTGAACATTATTTAACATTTATTGACTGTGTTAGTTAATAACGCGGGATAGTTGATGACTCGTTTGCTCACCTCCTCTGTAATACGAGTATGTAGGCAGATAAATCATACTAAATGAAGATTTCAATTATCTACTAGTAAAACGCGGATACGTTCCACAAATTGTATGCAAAACATCGATTTCTTAAAACAACTTGCGCGCTATCGACCGTGCGTTCATTGCTGCTGGTTCCAGGACAGAGAATCCAGTACCGACCAGAGTGCCGACAAAGGATGAATAGTTTAGCTGCGCAAAGAGGACAAACCAAGAGAAGTACGTAGACACATACAGGCTTAGTTTTATATTTAATAATATAAATCTGACATACCCGAACTTAGCAAAATTGGTCCAAAGCGTAGTGATTCTGTCGATGACTAGTTGATCCTCCTCCGCAACAAGCTCACCCGGCTGCAAGTCCACGGCCAGCAGGTAGCCGAGCTCATCCGCATGCGCCGCGCCCGGCGCTGTTATTCCAAGATGTTTCTTCATAACGTTTCGACCGCCATCGTACGAGAATACATAGTAATATATGTCTTCGTTGCCNACACATACAGGCTTAGTTTTATATTTAATAATATAAATCTGACATACCCGAATTTAGCAAAATTGGTCCAAAGCGTAGTGATTCTGTCGATGACTAGTTGATCCTCCTCCGCAACAAGCTCACCCGGCTGCAAGTCCACGGCCAGCAGGTAGCCGAGCTCATCCGCATGCGCCGCGCCCGGCGCTGTTATTCCAAGATGGTTTTTCATAGCGTTTCGACCGCCATCGTACGAGAATACATAGTAATATATGTCTTCGTTGCCCGCGTTCAATATCTTCTTAAGGGACCGCTCGACGGGATAATGAAAGTAGTAGTTTGAAGCAAAATTAATGAATTTATCAAAGACCTCCGGATTGAAGGGTTCGTCTGCGATGTAGAAATGAGTTACGTCTTCTTCTATCTCGTTCTCCTTCAAGTCGAAAGCTATATTCATGTAGTTTCTAATGGCCGGCTGCTCATATTCTTCCGGGCTGATCAAGGCGTGCAGAGTTAGCATTTCACGATCGTTCACTCCGTAGATAACCGGAATATTGCGAAGCTTTTTAGGGTCTAAATTTTCTGGAGTATTAGCAAGAAATCTATAAACTCCATTATATTCATTTTCGATACAAGCTCTGAACAAGCCGAAGGTGGCGTCCGTCAAAGTGACCGGGCCATCAGATCTAGTCGCTCCGACCACCAGGAGCGGGTCTTGATCGGCTAAAAACGCTATAGCTTCTACGAAGTTGTCAGTTTTGAATCCCAATCGGCTGGCTATTCGTATCGGGATACTGTTGTCAGGTTTCATGATGGCTCCAGGAATAAAAGCGGATGCGCTTTGAACGATGACCTGGTTGAAGAACTTCTCTTGCTCGGTTAGTAGGTGTAGCTCGACGGCGACGCCTCCCGCACTTTCCCCGAACAGAGTTATCTTAGAGGTATCTCCCCCGAAAGCCTCTATATTTTCCTTGATCCATTTTAAAGCAAGAACTTGGTCCTTCAACCCCTGATTCCCAGGAACATCGGCGCTGTCCAAACAAAAGAATCCAAACGCTCCAAGCCGGTAGTTAACCGACACAATGATAACGTCATGTCGGACCAGATCTTCGAAGGAGTAATCTCTGCTAGTTCCGCTGCCGGACATGAAGCCCCCTCCGTGGATCCAAATNATCTTCGAAGGAGTAATCTCTGCTAGTTCCGCTGCCGGACATGAAGCCCCCTCCGTGGATCCAAATCATCACCGGGCGCTTATTCCGCGACGTCGCCGTGTTGGGCACGTAGATGTTCAGGTTCAAGCACTGGAGGCTTCCGACCGCGACATTGTCGGTGAGTTGAGGACAAACCACGGAATCGTCGAACGCCTCGAATGTCTCCTCGAAGCCGGGGTGCGGCACTGAGGACTGAAACGAACACCGACAATTAGGTATTTATAATTTGTTATATTTGGTTATAATTGGTCATATTTATATTTGGTTTCTAACTACTTCTTCATCAGCGTCGAACGATTAACTCAGTATAATTGAAATGATTGGATGGTGTTTTATTCAAAGCGACATTAGTAATAAACCGAACTATCAAACTCACCCCAAAAGGATTATCCTCGTCTACTAACGCGTAGGGCACACCCAGGAACTTGGAGAACTCTCCATTTTCGGACCTAAGACCCTTGATGAGTCCCTTCCGGGTCTCAACGAGCGGGTCTACTCTGAGCCTCGCCCCCGCCGCCGACAACAAGGCGACCACGACCACCGCTAGAGTCACTGGTCGTAGCATGTTTGAACCAATAATACACTATTCGACGCTCTCAGATTTTTATATAATACATTATCTCAAATTGATAATAGAACGATACTGTAATCTAGAATCTGAAAAATCTGACTTTGCATTTTAGTCATCGGTAAATTCTCGAGTCATTCTTAAAAGATTAGCGTTAATTGGCTTGACTGTCTGGGACCGAGGGTTGTGGGTTCGATTCACGCATCGGTCAAGCGTTCCTTGAATGTCATGAATATGTTTATTTGCTCTCTAAGCGTGTGTCTTCTTCCTCTTCTTCCTAGCGTTTTCCCAGTCTAGTGACAGGGTCCGCTTTCCAACTTAAACTCCTCCACTTTGAACGGTCTCTGCTTTTAGCCACACCGAGTTCTCACATAAGCTTGAGTTTTACCATAAATATTGTTAGTAGTTTTTTTTTCGCGTGAAATATTTACTAATTACTACTACTGTTTATATTATACATCAATAGAAGAGATTTTATTAAATACCTATGTAATTAAACTCAGTAAAGCTTAAAACATGAACTTGCAAAAATATAAATCCTTCAAACATTGTTGCCAGATTTCAATTGAAACACGCACACTCTTTCTGTGGCTTTTGTTCCATCATATGGAATGTGTAAAAGCCCCCTAAAATTATCATAGCGCTTAGAGCACCTTATATTCTCTAAAAGATCCTATAAAGCATAATTAAGTTAATTAAGATAGTGTTAGTTGTAGGCTGGTGCCCAATCTTCAGTTCTGATGAAATCGGAAACATTCATTTTCACGTTTGTATGGATCGAGGCTTATTCCCGCTGCTGAGTTTTGCTGTGAGTTGACCTCTTGGTTACGGAATATCGGATTGTTGAAAGGTTTGAGTATATCCTCAAGAATGGTTTTTGATAAATCAGGGCTTTTTTAATAAAGTAGGTGGTATGGTAGGTAAAAGATATAGTGGTCAGTCACTCCTTGTATGCCAGCACCAAATTTAAATTCAAAATCATTTATTTCAACTTAGATGTCAGTATAACACACTTGTTGAATGTCAAAATATAAATAACAACGTTAACTCTACCACCCCACCAAAACATCAGTGAAGCCGAATAAAGCTCACTTTGAGCCTTACTGAATAACTAAGGAGCTTCTGTATATGGAGCATATTTGAGCAGAGCTTGTTCATTCTGTTTATCGAAATATTGCTTAGTAACTAAACTATTAGAGTCATTAGATCATGTTTATCTATTACCTCTTTTTACATAGAGTCTAAGAAGTTGTCTTGATTACTCTAGCGATATATGAATTATCGCTTAAGTAATAACCGGTTTCTCCAGCGTCTCTTAGAAGCAGCAAGTCCTATATCATCTTTTAAAATATACGAAATGGTTCTTGATGTTATATACTCCTTACTACTATTTAAAGTCAAAAGGTACGATGATTTATGTTTGTACTAATATTTTTCCAAAATATTCGATACCTTTGTTTCACTAACGTATATTCTGTTACCGCATTCTTTGGACCTTCCGCAACATAATAATATGTCACTCTGCGTCTTGTCTATTTCCCACCTGACCTACTTGAGAACAATATGAGAATGTATAATCATAGTGGTCAACAGTCGTTCAAGTGAACCGGGGCGCGCTTTGAGTTCATGCCGCTCAGCTACAACTGAATTTGTTTGTTCGATAGTAGACTTGACGGGGTCATCGACGCGACGGTCATAACCGCATTGTTGAGTCTAACAGGACAGACGCGCTCACTGCCCCGTCGACGGTAAGCGGACACCCGAGCTCCCCGAGACCTCGCGAGTTGCGGCAGCCGTTGTGTATGCGAGGGTTAGGTATCATTTGCAGCATACGGAATAGCCTGCGGTGCTTAATCGCTAAAACGTTTGATGATTTGATAAACTGATAACACCGATAATTTAATAATTAATATTGTCTGATTGACTCCGATGTTGATGGAGCTAGATGACTGGCATTAGCGTGTGCACAATGAGTGTGCCGATCAATTATCAGTGTCAGCTAATTACGTGACGTTCGCACATAATTTCGCTGTCGCAACTTCCTGCGTGCGTTGTCTCCCTCAACACATTCCCAATTCCACTTTGGTTTCAGATTTGCGAAGAGGATACGACACTGCCCATCGTATGTGTATTCTGCTGCGACTTTGTCACATTCATACTCATAATCTCGAACTAAGTAGTGGCATAAAATAAGGGATAACAAATCGAAATTTCAATAATTGTCATAAATTTGCAGCTACCTTCCGGCTGCACAACAAGAATGCACAAGATGATATTAACCGACGTGTGCCGGCAGCTCTTACACCGCTTATATGTACATATATGTATGTACATATCAAGGGGTGAAAAGCTATTTGGCTTAAGCAATATTTTTGCAACTTTACCATTTAAAGCCATTTAAAGTCAGAGTTAGAGCCATTTAAAGTTTAAAATTTGCACAAATATCATGGCAAAAGAACTTATTCAGCTATTTGAATGCGTTAAACTTCATTGAAGTTCAATTAAAAACATCAAAATTTTGATACTTATGCCAAATAAAACGGACCTTTAATTACAACATTCATGTGTATTTCAGATTTCAGATGTAACGAGTTTTGGCTCTCGACGAAAAATTCAAACACTCCGTAGTTATATGTACTTCTCTTTATTACTACAGTTTCACATAATCATCGCTTTATTTAAAATATAATACATAAATTGCCTTTTTCGGTACATTTTTCATGATCGTCCTGGTTCAGCTTTCAAATTATAATAATTGTTTGTAACTCCGCTCAATCCGTAACAAAGTCCGCCATCTTTTTGTGCGGTCGCCCCGCGGTTTTCCACAGAGCGGAAGTGAACAAAGGCTTATTATAGTCATGAAACTAGTGTTTAAGTCATAAATTATTCTACAAGTTAATAGTCCGACTACTTTAATAATAATATTTACATAAATGAGGGGCATGAGGATTGGCTCTAAATAAACATATTTTAATCATATTTCGATAGACTTTGTTATTAATTTTATGTCTATTTAAAGTACACACTACAATTTAAATAAAATTATTCTAACAGTTTCATGCCTAGGTATAGTGTAGAAATGGAATCAGCAACTTATTTACAATAATGTTTTAGCTCGTTTATTTAAACTAGAGGTCCCGCAGTAGTCGAAATTCGACTATAATTAATTGGAATTGTAAGTTTGTACACTATTATGATTGTATTTTATACTTTTATAATCACAAATTTCGCCAAGACTACACTAAAAAAAATATTAATAAAGACAAACAATATTTAATCTATTCTCAATTTGACAACAGACGTCAAGAACAATAGTTTGACAATAAATAAATAGTATGCATGCGTGTGTGCGTCAAATACATGGTATGTAGTGTGCGTCAAATACATGGTATGTAGTGTGTGTAATGTTTTCTTTATTGATTTAATGTATCTTTTATGCATTATTTTCAAAAAATATGAGCATTGTGCACTTCTTCTCTATGTTCTCCATAAGTATGGAAAATTTCATACTACTCCGTCCGCATAATTTTCCGTAAAAAGGGATACAAAGTTTTTGCTTCACGTATTAATATAAAGATTACGTTAGTAAATATAATGTTCCTAACACGAGGAGTTTCCAGTTTGTTTCAAAAATGTAGGTAAGGCGTTGCAGACTCTAGATGGGCAAACGAGCCCACGGCTCATCTGGTGTTAAGTGGGTTATCGAAGCCCATAAACTTCAATAAGTAAGTGAATGTCACTAAAGATAAGATGTTTAAATCTGAATAATATAGTGTAACGGCTGTCCCAGCCTTCAACTCTCAGTACTCCTCTTATTAATGATATAACCATAAGCTACTAAAATCACCATCAGGTGGGTCGTAAGAGTTTTTGGAAGATTATTGGAAGTTATCGAATGTCCTGGTGTTGAGTTATTGCCGCAGTCCGCTGCCTGGTAGCCGCTACAGTAAAATACGAAGACAGAGGCTCAATTGTGTTACGTTAATACAGTCCCTCCTCACTGACTGCGGTGCAAGACTGCTTGCGGTAGAATCGAACTGCCGAACTCACTATACTATGTCTTTTTTGGATTTGGTTTATTATTACATGATGGTTATTGATTAATTCAATACGAAAAAAATCAGCTGCGGCGTGTAGAATGTACTCGATAATGCCTTAAAACAGAACATACAGTAATCATAATAATCAAACGAATAAACACCAAATATTTTATTTTTGTATTGTTAAGATGGGTGGATCAACTCACAGCGCCTCTGGTATTAAATGGTGACCGGAGCACATTAACCGAGTTAATAACAGCACCCACCTTGAGATATGAGTTCTAAGTCTACAATACTTTACAATAAGTTTACAATTTCTACAATAATACGTTTGCTCACCCTTCAAACCGAGTCGCAAAACTGCTTCACGGCAGAAATAAGCAGTGGTACCTACCCATGCAGGCTCATAAAAAAAACAATTAATAAGATAAATACATAATAAAATAGAATAAATCCAAAAAAACCTGAATCGCCCTACTTCATATTCACCAGAGACACTATCGTATTATAATATCCAAGTTCCGATCACCAACGTTCGAGCAGACGCTGTACCTACTCCAGCCTGCACCTGACCTACTTCAGAAAAAACTTTCGAGTGGCTGGTCGCAGTGGAGCAATGTCAGTAGTTGAGGTCCCCCGGGGCGCGCGGCGGGTCGCGGCGTGCAGCCACAGCCGAATATGATTTATTGACAGGTGAGTGCGCTCTCACATCCGACTAATCCAAAACACACTGCGAATATATTGACTACAAAGCAGTCGTACATTGTGTAGATATAACTAATTATAACTAATAATATATAAATTATGCTAGTAAATTAATTTTTGTTTTTTAAGTTTTTTGGCAACCGTATGAACCTAGTCAACTGGTTTTATATTAGTCTCATACAGAATTTAGTCAAAATAGGTTTAGAGGTTTGGTCGTGACAGGACAGTGAAGAAGCACTCTGAGTTACTATT